GGTGTAGGTTGGGTAGTGTAGTGTTGGGTGTGTTATAGTAGGTGCATAATATAGTGAGTATTAAATTATGTTGGTGTGGTGGAGGAATAGTGATGATGGATAAGTGTGGATATAGCGTTAGGTAGTGGTTAGTAACAGTGTGTAGTGGTGAAGTAGTGATATTATGTATGGCAGTGGGGTAGTAGTGATGTTGTCAGTGGTGGTAGTAGGGTGTAGATAGTGTATTTAGTGAAGTGTAGTACCTGTTTTATAGTGGAGTAGTAGCAGTGTAGTAGTGATTTATGGGGAGTTGTGATGTAGTAGCAAAGGGTAGTTATTATTATGATGTAGTAGTGGTGTAGTAGCAGTGTAGTAGTGGTGATTGTAGAGTAGCGGTTAGTGGGTGGATGGGTTAGTGATTGGTAGTGATGTGAGTAGTGGTGAGTAAGTAGCGGTGTAGTGTGATGTCTTGTAGCATGTAGTGGTGATGTAGTGATGTAGTAGGTGGTATATGTAGTAGCAGATGTAGTAGTGGTGTAAAGTATGCGGTGTAGTAGTGATAAGTAGATGGTGGGGGTAGTGATGATTGGTAGTAGCGGTGTTGTAGTGTATGTCATTGTGCAGTGTAGTTGCAGTGTTGTAAGCGGAGTGTTAGTAGTGATGTGATAGTGGTATGTAGTAGCAGTTGTAGTAGCGGTTGATAGCAGTAGTAGTGGTTTAGTAGTGATGTAACTTGTGATGTTTGAGTAGCAAGTGGTTAGTAGGGGTGTAGTAGTGGTTTAGTAGGTGATGTACTAGTGATGTAGTAGCAGTTGTAGTGGTGCGGTTTAGCGTAGTGATGTAGTAGCGGTGTCAGTAGTGATGTAGTAGCGTTGTAGTAGTGATGTAGTAGCACTGTCTACTTCCAGCTACCACGGGGTTCCCACAGGTACGGGCACTTCCATTGGGTCGATAGCCAGGAAACCCATGTACCGTATTTTTCGGTGTTCCAGTAGTAGTAACGTATTATGGAGCGAAAGTTTAGTGTATGTAAAGCAGGCCGGTCCGGTATTTATGCAGCCCAACCATGTCCAGAATATCGGGACCGGCCGATAGATATTCTCTCCTGCCAGACCTTAACCTGTTCCTCGCTCCAGCGCTGCGCTTTGTAATGGTCCAATGTCCTTCTGGGACACATGAATATGGCAGTGGGCACCCGCTGTCACAGAACCCGCCGCAGTGAAGAAGTGTGGGGAAGGACAACTCCCGGAAGTGGGAGTTAGTAGATGGTAACTGTCAAATTCAAGGGACCCGTTCCCCCTCCCTCCCCAAAGTGGTGTCAGCAGTCTCCCCGGTTCATCCCCTGTACTGTGTCCGCAGTCTCCCGGTTCATCCCCTGTACTGTGTCCACTGTCTCTCGGTCAATCTCCTGTACTGTCGTCCGCAGGAGTTAGTCCTGGTACATCTCCTGTACTGTGTCCGCTAGTCTCTGGTCATCCCCTGTACTGTGTCCTCGGTCTCTGGTCATTCTCCTGTATACTATGTCCTCGGTCCTCTGGGCATCTCCTGTTACTGTGATACCGCAGTCTATCCTGGGTTCTGCATCTCCATGTGTACTATGTCCGCAGTCTCTTGGTCATCTCCTGTACTGTCCGCAGTCTCTGGTCATCCTCCTGTACTGTGTCCGCATTCTCTGGTCATCTCCTGTTCTGTGTCCACAGTCTCTGGTCATCTCCTGTATTGTGTCCGCGCAGTCTCTGGTCCATCTCCTTGTATTGTGTCCACAGTCTCACCTGGTCATCTCTGTACTGTCCGCAGTCTCTGGTTCATCTCCCTGTACTGTGTCCAGCAGTCTCTGGTGCCATCTCCGTTACTGTGTCCGCAGTCTCTGGTCATCCCCTGTACTATGTCCGCAGTGCTCTCTGGTCATCCCTGTACTATGTCTGCAGTCTCCGGTCATCTCCTGTACTGTGTCCGCAGGGTCTCTGGTCATCTCCTTGTACTGTCTGCAGTCCCCCCTCATCTCGGTCATCTCCTGTACTACTGTGTCCGCATGTCTCTGGTCATCTCCTGTACTATGTCCTCATGTCTCTGGTCATCCCCTGTACTATGTCCGCAGTCTCTGGTCATCTCCTGTACTGTGTCCGCAGTCTCTGGTCATCTCCTGTACTGTGTCCGCAGTCTCTGGTCATCCCCTGTACTGTGTCCCGCAGTCTCCGGTCATCCCTGTACTGTGTCCGCAGTCTCCCGTGGTCATCTCCTGTACCGTGTCCGCATTTAGTCTCTGGTCATCTCCTGTACTGTGTGAGTACCGCAGTCTCTGGTCATCTCCTGTACTATGGTCCTCGGTCTCTGGTCATCCCCTGTACTGTGTCCGCATAGGTCTCTGGTCATCCCCTGTACTGTGTCCCGCAGTCTCTCCGGTCATCTCCTGTACCGTGTCCGCGAGTCTCTGGTCATCTCCTGTACTGTGTCCGCAGTCTCTGGTCATCCCCTGTAGATGTGTCCGCAGTCTCTGGTCATCTCCTGTACTATGTGTCCTCAGTCTCTGGTCATCTCCTATGTTGTGTCTGCAGTCTCTTCTGGTCATCTCCTGTACTGTGTCCGCAGTCTCTGGTCATCTCCTGTACTATGTCCTGCAGTCTCTGGTCATCTCCTGTACTATGTCCGCAGTCTCTGGTCATCCCCTGTACTGTGTCCGCAGTCTCCGGTCATCTCCTGTACTGTGTCCGCAGTCTACTGGTCATCTCCTCCTGTACTGTGTCTGCAGTCTCTGGTCATCTCCTGTACTGTGTCCGCAGTCTCTGGTCATACTCCTGTTACTGTGTCCGCAGTCTCTGGTCATCTCCTGTACTGTCTGCTGTCTGCGGTCATCTCCTGTACTATCGTCGCAGTCTCTGGTCATCTCCTGTATACTGTCCGCAGTCTACTGGTCCATCTCCTGTGTACTGTGTCCGCAGTCTCTGGTCATCTCCTGTACTGTGTCTGCAGTCTCTGGTCATCTCCTGTACTATGTCCGCAGTCTCTGGTCATCTCCTGTACTGTGTCCGCAGTCTCTGGTCATCCCCTGTACAGTCTCTGGTCATCTCCTGTACTATGTCCGCAGTCTCTGGTCATCTCCTGTACTGTGTCCGCAGTCTCTGGTCATCTCCTGTACTGTCCGCAGTCTCTGGTCATCTCCCCTGTACTATGTCCGCAGTCTCTGGTCATCTCCCTGTACTGTGTCCGCAGTCTCTGGTCATCCCCTGTACTATGTCCGCAGTCTCTGGTCATCCCTGTACTGTGTCCGCAGTCTCTGGTCATCCCCTGTACTGTGTCCGCAGTCTCTGGTCATCTCCTGTACTGTCTGCAGTCTCTGGTCATCTCCTGTACTGTGTCCGCAGTCTCTGGTCATCTCCTGTACTGTGTCCGCAGTCTCTGGTCATCTCTGTACTGTCCGCAGTCTCTGGTCATCTCCTGTACTGTGTCCGCAGTCTCTGGTCATCTCCTGTACTCTGTCCGCAGTCTCTGGTCATCTCCTGTACTCTGTCCGCAGTCTCTGGTCATCTCCTGTACTCTGTCCGCAGTCTCTGGTCATCTCCTGTACTGTGTCCGCAGTCTCTGGTCATCTCCTGTACTGTGTCCGCAGTCCATTGGCTCAGAATATTTTTTTTCTTGTTTTTCTTCTACGGTACTGTAACTGTAGTAACCAATCACTCCCAATCTCCAGCCTTCATGCACTGACACGGGTCTCATCTTCGGTGTCATTTCTACAAGCAGGGAAAAGTCATCGCTTGGAGCTGAACACTCGGGGGGGGGGAGGGGGGGGGAGTCATGAAATTTCTGCAGAGGTATTCGTTCTGTGTGAATAAGTGACACAATGGAATGTTGGGCTATTTGCTCTCCAGATTGGATGTTTATTCTGTTCATACTGATTAGCGTGAATCGGGAAAATTCATCATCGCGGCCACAAGATGGAGCTGATGAGAACAGGAAATAAATACATATTTACGATGGTCAGCTCCTTCTAGCGCTCAGGTTCTCGGGGTTCTTTCCCTTTGCAAAGGGAATTTCTAACTTCAGTGAAGGAGCTGATGGGCCGATTTTTAATCATCCAATTATGATCAGGGACATTTTTTTTTTTTTTTTTTAATTGCAAATTATTTAATTATTTATTTAAATTTTTTTTTTTTTTTTTTTTTTTTAATTTGGTGTCACCCCATCCCCTGTTCATTAACTTCTTGCCGACCCGCGCATAGCCGAATGACGGCTTCACCGCGGCCGGCCAGTTCTGAGTGGACGTCATATGACGTCCTCCCAGAACGCGCTCTCCTACGGACACAGCTGATCACGTGATGTGGTGAAAGGCCGATCCCCCACCGGCCTTTTACCACGTGATCAGCGGTGTCCAATGACACGCTGATCACAGGGAAATGCAAGTGCCGGTTCCCGGCTGCACTTTCCTCACGCTGTCAGATCGTGAGGAAAGTACTGCCGAGAACCGGCAGTTGTCAGAGCGGGGATCGGCACCGATCATCAGGGCACTGATGATCAGTGCCCTGATGATCGGTGCCCAGCAGTGACACCCGCAAGTTCCGCCCAGCAGTGCGCCCACTAGCCCCGCCCACCGTGCCCCAGCAGTGCCCCCACCTGTGCCCAGCAGTGCCCCCACCTGTGCCCAGCAGTGCCCCCACCTGTGCCACTCTGCAGTGCCACCTACCTGTGCCCAGAAGTGCCACCTACATGTGCCCAGCAGTGCCACCCACCTGTGCCCACCCACCAGTGCCACCCACCTGTGCCCACCAGTGCCACCCACCTGTGCCCACCCACCAGTGCTGCCCACCAGTGCCACCCACCAGTGCAGCCCAGCAGTGCTGCCAGTCAGTGCCACCAGTCAGTGCCCAGGGTTGTGCCAGTCAGTGCCGCCAGTCAGTGCCCAGAAGTGATGCCAGTCAGTGCCGTCTATCAGTACCCATCATCAGTGTCACCTATCAGTGCCGCCTATCAGTGCTGCATATCAGTGCCGCCTATCCGTGACACCTCATTAGTACTGCCTATCAGTGCCCTTTAGTGCTGCCTATCAGTGCCCATCAGTGCCGCCTATCAGTGCCCATCAGTGCCCGCCTCATCAACGCAAATCAGTGAAGGGAAAAATACCTGTTTTTAAAAATTTTATAAAAGAAACAAATAAACTTTTTTTTTTTTTCAAATTTTTTGCACATTTTTTTATTTATAGCGCAAAAAGTAAAGCGCCCAGTGGCGATTAAATACCACCAAAAGAAAGCTCTATTTGTGAGAAAAAAATGATCAAAATTTCATATGGGTACAATGTTGCATGACCGCGCAATTGTCAATCAAAGTGCGGCAGCGCTGAAAGCTGAAAATTGGCCTGGTAAGGAAGGGGGTATAAGTGCCTGGTAGGCGAGGGGTTAATATAAGTGAAAATTCCTATTGCAAAGTGAACATGTGCGACTCCTTTAGTAAATCCGCCCCGGAGTCAGGTATTCCTGGGACCCTTCAGGACGAAGCTGTAGGCAAAATGTTGGGTAACTTCATTGCATGGATGTCTGGCACCATCTAGTGGTTTCTGCTATGTTGGACGCGACGAAAATCGTTCCATTCAGTAGTCAGGCTGGCCATAGACGGCTCCAATATTCAGCCGATTCAGCAGAAATTTAGAGCTGGGGGGGGGGGGGGGGCCCTGTGAGCACCATGCGGGGGGGGGGGTGGCCCTGTGAGCACCATTCGGGTTGGCAAAGTTTGAATGAGCCAGGTGGGAAGTGATCGACTGGGTGTGTATGGGGGAATTGATTGATTTTCTCCCCTTTGGATTTGTTTCCTTCATCCACCACCGCCACCTTGTCCTGTATGCAGGGGCGGACTGACCATTTGGAAACCCGGGCACTGCCCAAGGGCCTGGGGTCAGTATGGGCCCCCATGAGATGCCCCTGGTACCTTTTTCATAGGCTTTTTTGAGTTTGGGGGCCCCATGATCCCTTATTGCCCGGGGACCCCATGAGTTGTCAGTCCGCCCCTGCCTGTATGCCCCAAATTTATCGTCAGCCAAGTCCAGAAGTTGATTTCTCCATTGAAGCGATCCCAATCATCCCATATATGCGTTAGGGGTTCTTTACTGTCAGAGCGGTAAGGATGGGGAAGTCCCTTCCACGGTTGGTGGTGTCAGCGAATGTCGATAACTTCAAAAATTTCTTAGATGGGTATCTAAAGGAATACAATGTACAGGGATATGGGGGGTAGTATTGGTATAAACCAGGGGCAGGCTGACCATTTGGAAATTCGAACACTGCCTGAGGTCCCGGGGGTCAGTAGGGGGCCCCATGAGATGCCCCTAGTACCTTTTTCATAGGCTTTTTTGAGTTTGGGCAAGGACACAGGGGCCCCATGATCCCCTATTGCCCGGGGGCCCCATGAGTTGTCAGTCCGCCCCTGGTATAAACACACATTCAGGTACAACTGGATGGACTGGTGTCTTTATTCAGCCTTACCAGCTACACCATATTGCCCGCAATATTGGGCCGCCGGCCTTTCCACGCACATGACCTTTAATGGCCCCCCAGTCTTAGTCCGTAGGGTTCAATATTGAGTTGGCCCCGCCCTTTCCACGCACATGACCTTTAGTGGCCCCCCAGTCTTAGCCCATACGGTTCAATATTGAGTTGGCCCCGCCCTTTCCACGCACACGACCTTTAATGGCCCCCCAGCCTTAGTCCGTAGGGTTCAATATTGAGTTGGCCCCGCCCTTTGCAGCTATAACAGCTTCAACTCTTCTGGGAAGGCCGTCCACAAGGTTTAGGAGGGTGTCTATGGGAAGGTTGGACCATTCTTCCAGAAGCACATTTGTCAGGTCAGGCACTGATGTCGGGGGAGGAGGCCTGGCTCGCAGTCTCCGCTCTAATTCATCCCAAAGGTGTTCTATGGGGTTGAGGTCAGGACTCTGTGCAGGCCAGTCAAGTTCCTCCACCCCAAACTGGCTCCTCCATGTCTTTATGGACCTTGCTTTGTGCACTGGTGTGCAGTCATGTTGGAACAGGAAGGGGCCATCCTCAAACTCCTCCCACAAAGTTGGGAGCATGAAATTGTCCAAAATGTCGCCTTAGGAGTTCCCTTCACTGGAACTAGGGGGCCAAGCCCAACACCTGAAAAACAACCCCACACCATAATCCCCCCTCCACCAAACTTTACACTTGGCACAATGCAGTCAGGCAAGTACCGTTCTCCTGGCAACCGCCAAACCCAGACACGTCCATGGGATTGCCACCCCTTCATCACCCCCCACAAGTAGTACAGTGTCACCATGGTGACACTGTACTGCTAGGGTGACAGTATGTAAAAAAAAAAACCCATAAATATTAATATAAAAAAAAAATAAAAAGGGAAAGAAAATTTTACAAAATTATAATTTTTGGTTATAAACTAATTTGGGTTATTTTTTTTTTTTTTTACTAAAAAGATAATGGAATAATTTGTGGCCAAGATTTATGAAGAAAAATTATTTATTTGCAAAATGTTATAAGAAAAAACACTTTTTCTCAAAATTTTGGGAGTTTTTCATTTACATAGCAAAAAAAAAAAGTGAGTGAATAAATACCACCAAAATAAAGTTGTATCTGTCTCAAAAAAAATGCTAAAAAATTCATATGGGTACAGTGTTGCATGACCGCGCAATTGTCAAAGTGTGATAGCGCTGAAAGCTGAAAATTGGCCTGGACAGGAAGGGGGGGAAAGTGTCCGGACTGGAAGGGGGGGAAAGTGTCCAGACTGGAAAGGGGGGGGAAGTGGGACTGGAAGGGGGGGGAAAGTGTCCGGACTGGAAGGGGGGGGAAAGTGTCCGGAAACTGGACTGGAAGGGGGGGGGAAAGTGTCCGGACTGGAACGGGGGGGGGGAAAGTGTCCGGACTGGGGGGGGAAAGTGTCCGGACTGGAAGGGGGGGGGGAAAGTGTCCGGTCCTGGGACTGGAAGGGGGGGGGGGGAAGTGTCCGGACTGGAAGGGGGGAAAGTATCAGGAGGACTTGAGTTAAGGGACTGTCCATCTTTTGGGACCAAATCCCTCTTTCCTCCTCAGTTGTCTCTCTTTTTTATCCGATCACTAGGGGGCACTATGAACTTAAATTAAAGTTTAACTACCAAAACGAAATTAAATATTTAACTACCAAAACTGTTAAAATTTACTAAAAATTGCATCCAATCTCTATATGTTTTATTTTGTTACACACGGCTCAAAAAAATTAACACTTTGTAATCCGAGTCCGGCATCAAGTCCATGAAACTCCTGGGATATGGATCTGGTCAAGTAAGTAGCAGAGGGGGTTGTTCATCAGTTTTGGCTGCTTTGGTGTTCATGAAATGAACAACAGGTGCACTAGATGGGCAACAAGGAGACGACCCCCAAAACAA